TATATATAATATTATCTATATCAAAACAGAATGATCAAAATTGGAGAATTATGATTGATATAAAAATTCTTTGTTGACAGAAAATGGCAGGAATACTCCATGATAATATTTGGGACACCGATCCCGAGCTTTTCGATTTGATGAAAAAGGAGAAGACACGACAGGAAAGCGGGTTAGAACTGATTGCCAGTGAAAATTTTACATCCCTCAGTGTCTTACAGTGCTTAGGTTCGTGCCTGCACAACAAATACAGTGAAGGGTACCCTGGTCAAAGGTAAGCTTTTGTACCGCGACTGCTCTTCCATATCATAATAAATCTCTTATAAATACATTTCATTTCAATTATCATTTATATGTATATAGAGATCGAAGAGATCGAAGAGATCGAGAAATACTTGATCGTTTCATATATTTACATTCACAGATATTACGGCGGAAACGAATATATTGACGAAATCGAGTTACTGGCGCAAAAACGCTCTTTGGAAGCCTTCAATTTAGATCCTGAACAATGGGGCTGTAATGTACAGCCTTATTCGGGAAGTCCGGCAAATTTCGCGGTGTACACAGGCTTAATGGAGCCTCACGGACGTATAATGGGCTTAGATTTGCCCGATGGTGGCCATCTTACTCATGGTAAGAATTTGAATAACAGACTGATCTGATCTGATTTGGCATCTGCCAAAAACTATTTTATAAGCTTTATTCGTGCGCTGTAGGTTTCTTCACGGTGAATAAGAAGATTTCCGCTACGTCTATTTTCTTCGAATCGATGCCATATAAAGTTGATCCTGAAAGTGGTTATATCGATTACGATGGGCTCGCGAAACAGGCGAGATTATTCAAACCGAAAGTTATCATCGCTGGAATTTCCTGCTATAGCAGGTGTCTGGACTATAAACGTTTCCGCGAAATCGCCGACGAAAATAATGCTTACCTCTTCAGCGACATGGCTCACATCTCTGGATTGGTTGCCGCCGGAATAATACCAAGTCCTTTCGAATATAGTGATGTTGTTTCGACAACTACGCATAAGACTTTACGAGGTCCGCGCGCTGGTGTTATTTTCTACCGAAAAGGCGTTCGAAGCGTTACAAAAGATGGCAAGAAGATTATGTACGATATAGAAAGTAAAATTAATCAGGCAGTCTTTCCAGGCCTTCAAGGCGGGCCTCATAATCACGCTATCGCTGCTATAGCCACCACTATGAAACAAGTTAAAACACCAGAATTTCTCGCTTATCAGAAACAAGTAACGGCTAATGCGAAGAGGTTGTGCGCCGGCTTACAAAAATATGGCTATAATATCAGTACTCATGGCACAGATGTCCATCAGTTATTGGTAGATCTACGATCGACGGGTATCACCGGTGCAAAGGCAGAAAAGATTCTGGAAGATATTTCTATCGCTTGCAATAAGAATACTGTTCCCGGTGATAAAAGTGCATTGAATCCTAGCGGGATTAGATTGGGAACACCCGCACTCACAACTCGTGGCTTAGTCGAGGAAGACATTGACAAAGTCGCGGAATTCATACATAGAGGTAATACTAAACCTTAAAGCCCGTATCAGACTACGCATTGAAAATTGGAGATTGAAAATTAAAGATTGGAATTTGACTAATCAGAACAAAAGGAACTAAAATTTCTTTGTCCTGATTGGTCAAATTTCAATCTTGAAGATAAAAAAAATTATTTTAATCGCTTTGATTTTTCTTCTCATGCACTGGAATTCCTTGTGCGATTAATAACTTTTTACAAATATGGACTAATCAGCTGATAGAACGTCATAATAAATTATGTAAATAAGTTGTACAATATAAAAAAGAAATTATATAAGTACTGGGGTCCCTTTTTTGTAATTATATATTATACATCTTGCTTTGTAAAACAGGAAAACATATAACACAAATTGGAGAACATGTGTAAAATTATATTGCATATGTATGCAAATAAGATAACAATTTGAGACATTTTAAATATAAGTATTTGTTTTTTTAATATAATTCAGGCATATACATGCTCACAGCTCTAATATATAAAGTCTTATCAAAGATAAGAATGTGTAAATATTAATATCTATAGATATTAATATCTCTTTATATCTCTATAACCTGTTGAAATATATCTATGTATAAGGAATATATCACTCTCATAGTCTTTAACTATGTACTGTCTGCCTGGGTATATTTTCGCTCAAATATTCTTTGGATTTAAATAAATTTGCACACAGTGTGAATAAAGTTTTTCATCTAATATCAATTATGTGTGTGCGACCTATGTACGTGAGGATAATAAGACCGAGATAAGAATTTCGATAGATTCTTTCATCATGATCATACACATCGAATGAGTGAGAGAGAGAGAGAGAGAGAAATGGAGAACGCCAGGCTAACGGTTACGAGGTTAAAGAAGTGTCAAAATGATGAGATTTATGAAAATTCTTTAATACCGTGATGACTCCATCCTTCATAATGGACTTTCGGCTTCGTATGATCATGCCCACGACCTTCTTAGAGACCTTGGCAGGCATATTCACGCACTGCGCGCACAAATTCTTTCGCTTCTTCAATTTCATGAATTCTTAGAATTTCGTCGACACGGTAGGAGGCATTGTTCCCGCGACACCGCAGTCTATCGCTATTACGCGAAGGATTACTTTCAGCTCCGAATCTTTCTCATGACGGCATCTACATAATAGTGATGCGAGCAACGCTAAAAGAACAAGCTAACGACTAACGTATTGTCCGCGTGTCTGCGAACTAACACAGACTGCCGTGGATAATCATGAACTATCAACTGTCACGAGATGATCGAGCGTACACGTCGCGATGGGTCGATTTGCATTAGAGTCTAAAGCCCGTATCAGACTACGCATTGAAAATTGAAGATTGAAATTTAAAGATTGGAATTTGACTAATCAGAACAAAAGGAACTAAAATTTCTTTGTCCTGATTGGTCAAATTTCAATCTTGAATCTTGAATCTCAATCTTCAATGCGTAGTCTGATACGGGCTTTAGAAAACTTGTTATTGATCGGTGATTTTGATTGTCAAATTGCGAAAAAATACCTTATATTCCATAGTTATTTACATTCGTTATTTGCGGTATTTTGTTCGAGGAATCATTTTTCTGAGCATTAATGAGTCAAACATTGTGATTTGAATAGAGGTAGAGATTTAGGCTTAAATATAATGCGATTACGTGTGAAATAAATTTTATATCATTTTCTTGTAGGATTGCAGCTTTCTAAGAAAGTAAGTGCTATTTCGGGACCGAAGCTGCCAGATTTCAAGAAAGTATTAAGTACCGACGACAATATTAAAGCAAAAGTTGCGACACTAAAGGAGGAAGTAGAAACCTTTTCGAAGCAATTTTCAATGCCTGGTCAGAAGATATATTAATATTGCAACAGTACTTCGTAAGTAGATTTACTCAATGTAAATTTTAAAAACTTTACAATATTTGTTCTCATTTTATGTGTCATTAATTATATATTTGAAATCATTCTTATATCGCGTTTTTGTACAGATTTATAACCCCGATGACACAATACTTTGTGTGAATACATTGCTGTGCGAGTTTTATATTAATAATATGGAATATAAGGTATTTTTTTTACAAGAATAAAATAATTTTTTTTCGTTTGAGTTACCTGAGAAACTTTGTAATAAAAAAATGCATGTAACTATTTTTTGATAAAATATAAATATTTAAATAAATACCATCACAATTGTATTTAATATATCCGGTTTCATTTTTAAGTATAAGATTGTGCTTTATATGTACAACATAATATTAAGTAAAATAAACAAATCTTAATTTTGTATAATTTATCAATATATATGTATGATTATCAAGATGTTTTCACATGATACTTCTTTTTTTTATATACTTTATAACATGCAATTTCTAATTATCATTTATAATCATCGATTTTATCATTTTTTTCTAATATGTTTTCACATTGATTACATCTGCGATAAACTTAATGCATTTATCATTCTTTGCTATTGTTTATTTGATAAATAGTTATTTGCAAAAATATAATAACATAAAGTTGCGTGAATACATCAACATAAGAAAATTTTTTAGAAAACGGTTATATGGGCGATAGTTTAAAAGAAGTTACGCGAGTATCAATGATCCATTGTATTATGAGACAGTAAATATCTTTAATTAGGAACATGATGACAGGCATATTTGCCACACTTCACTTAATTTACATACAATTGTTAAATTAAATGTTTCTATTAGAAGGACAGAAAGAGAAACTGTTATTTAGAATAATATATCGGGCAACTGCTATTTGTTATTATATTTTCTTCAAGTGATTTATACAAATATAATACCTAAATTAATTTTTCGAAGTACTAATCTTGCATTCCCACACGTGATCTGACTGCGATGTGATACCCATATAAGATATCCATTTTAGAACAACAATATATAATCTAAAATATTAATATTATGCATGTAATATTACTTTACATTAAATTAATATACATTGTTTAATTTTTGCATATAAATTATTTGTATATAAATTTTTGAATTGTTGTATAACGAATATGAATAATAATGATTCAATTATCACAAATTGATATAACAACATATAACTTTGCAAATAATTATAATAAAATGACAGATAATACAAAATCAAAGTTATTTTTCCAATATACTTACATGTGTGTATATAGGATATATTTATTATAAAGCTAAAGTTATTAGCTGAATATTTATGCTTCCATTTCCTTTTTAGTACACAGCAAAAAATATTATATTACTTTTATTGAAATTAATGCTGTGAAGAATTTTATTACATAGTGTGATGGTCATCTTACTTCCTTAACTAAGTATTTGTTTTTCGTTAGAATTCTAAACTTTTTTCATATCAGTATAGAATCCAATAAATAGACATATTGCTTGTTGCTCTGCGGGTATAATTTATTTCTCCAATGTTTTTCAACACAAGCAACAAGCAATCTTGTTAAGTATTCTTTTTATGGAAGCTATAATTATGTCACATTTATTTGTCATGTGTTTTACTTTATATAAAATAAATCTTTGATCTCCCAGCAATTACACGCAGGTATACATTGATGTGATTATATATACGGTATACAGGTTTTAGCTAATGGCGAGGATTTTTTATTCAAAGTCCAAGTATATAACTGCTGAATTCATAGCAGCATATATAGAAAAATGACACGCACATATATTAACTCTTTTTAGTCCGGAAAGCTTATTTTCTTTCCTTATCTTGTAAAATATGATATTAAATAAAATTAACTTTGAGTTTCTATCAAATTTTAGATATTATTAATTATTGTGTTTTAAATAGTTTTTTCTAGAATGAGTTTTTATTATGCAAAAATATGCATCTCATTATTGCACATTTGTCTTATTTGATTAAAAGAGAAAGAATATGCATAAAATTAATTATCTATTAGATATGTATAAAATAATTAGAATGTTAATTTCTGATGTGAATATTACTATTTTGAATTCAGTATACATAACTTACAACTTTGATAAATTTCCTTTGACAAGAAAAGTCGTCCCAACAACTTTCATCTCTCAGTGATCAGGACACACACACATAAACACATACACACATACATACAAACCAAAATTACTATTTTTGTTTTCAATTGCAAACATATTTGTGATTTGAAATTTTATTATTTGATAACACGGGAGCAGTCGGTGAAAGTATTTGGATTGAGAAATAATATATAAAAGTTTCATAATCAACATCACACTGCACAGTGTTGTCTCACCTTCAATCAATCAAGTTCTTGTGCAGCATGTGAAGTTGAGGCTGTATTTCGTTGTTCGTCGTCCGAGTCGTCATCCTCCAGGCCATTGAAGAAAGATTGTAACAACGAACCGAATAATCCCTGATTACGTGGACGTGGAGGTGGAATATTGAAAAAGAGTTGGCCTATTTTATCTAAGTACTGTCGATAATACGGATCTCTATTTAAAGATATCTGATATTGTTCACAAAGAATTGTAAACACTGCTAGTTTACCACTGAAAAATATAAGATTAAAGAGGATAATAAACTGATAATAAACTTATCACAACAAAAATGTGTATCAGTTGAATATTATAAAATACAACATACCTGTCAATTGTTTTCAGTAGAAAAAATAAAAAGTTTAATAAAGGAAGAAGATATGGTGGGCCACTATTTATTTTTGGATGCCTTGAAGTATAAGAATTAAAGGCTTCTTGCGCTGTTGCTTTGTTTTGTAGACAAAGATACCTAAGATGAATTTATAATTTTACTATGATTACAAATAAATGTTATTTTAAATTAAATAGTATCTCTCAGTAATTCTCTTAAATTTTTTAATATTATTTCATATTTCTGCTCTCTTTCTTTCTATATTACAATGTTGAAAATTTGTAACATTAAAATTGTCATAAGAATCAAAATGCTTACTGCAAGACTGCTTGAGCTATGAAGAGGTCTATTTCATTCATGTACCCACGTTGCTCGTGAAGTTCGACCAACATTGCTGCGCATCCAGAGCCATCTCTACTATGTATAAAGTGTTGTCTTGCCATTATGTAATTCTTTTCTGGTTAAAAAATAAAGTTCTTTATGCATAGTGTGTAAGGTGATTAATAACAAGTTAATGTCATTATTTCAATAGTTACCTCTCCAAAAAACTTGAGCTATCTTCTGATGCAAATCTGGATGACCAGTTTTATTAGAAATTGCACTCTTAACGCTCCATTTAAGAGCCAATTGCACAAACGCTTCTCTTTCCGGTGATGCAGGGCTCATTAAGCTGAACAAGCTTGTAATCTTCTCGAAGAAGGTTTGCGTGGGCTCCGTTCCAGATTGTGTTAAAACATTGATAAATAAAATTCCTAAGTCGGCTCCACTTGCATGCTACAATAAATATATGGTGGCGACACGATATATAACGTTTATAAATTTATTCCATTTATTTTTAAAGGGACGTGAAAATCCAAAGACCCTCTTCGACAATGCTCAAGTAATATTCACATACCTGTTCGTGCTGTAATAAAAGCATTGACCCATTGTATAGCAATTCCAAAAGTTCCGAGTATTTTCTCTGGCCGAGATATCTGTAAGCGTAGGAGGTTAAACGAGCAGAAGGTTTACGTGAGCGGGAGCGCGCTTTGACGGCGCGAGGCGATCGGATCAGCTGGCTCACCTGAAATACAAAGTTCTGTACATCTGATGGGCCTCATAATAATTTTCCGAGTTTATCGACGCTTCTAATTTCGCCAAAACTCGTTGAACACCGTGACTGTACCGCGAGGCCATGTTTACACTATTTGGGAATCTCGGGACTGTACGCTGTATATATGGTTGGCATCAGTGGGCGCGATGCCGCGCGCGATCTACATGTGTAATTCAAATTTTCCAAAGCTTACGACGAGATTGATTATTTATGTATGTACGTATATAAAGTGCGATTAAGAAATCTTACGCCTACCTAATGAAATCACGGTAACACATGCGTGTCGTTCTAAAAATGGACAATCATTCTTTGTTATTGCGTTTTAATTTCATGCATGCATTGATAATGCAATATCTCTTGTACGTCGCGTGTGACACGAACTATTTTGGTACTAATGTATTTCGGTATTTTATCGATTGCAATGGTTTCATAGCTCTGTTCTACTATTAATTTCATAGCTCTGTTCTACTATTAAGCTGCTATATATATCGAATTCACAATATAATGCGCTAAATATATTCATACTGCGTTATATTTAATCAAGTTTTAATTATAATTAATATAAATTAATTAAGTCAACTAATGTGTAAATAAAAAAAGATGTATATACAGAATAATATAACATATGAAATAAATGCACCATATGTATGTGTGTGTGTAAATAAAATAATTCATCGCGAGAGTATAATCGGTTTTCGAACTTTCTCACGATATATATACGATAACATCATATAAATAAGAAAATATACAATGGCTGCGTTCGAAGAGCACGCTTTTAGCGCTATGAACGTGCTCTGTTCTTGTTCAACTTTCAATAAATAACAAAGATAGAACGACGCTGTTAGCGGTAATAGCGTCTCCCCGAACGCAACCAAAATGTTCCAGAATTAGACCGACAAACTTCAGGTAATTATAAAGGACACTAAGCCAATTTTGTCAATAAACCCGTGTCCGCAAATAAATCGTTTTGGCATTAAAGAATTAAAGACTAACAAGGGCAAAAATCTTTGAAACTAATTATTTTTTTAAAATTTTATTAATGTGGTTGAATAGAGATGTTTTTATCATAAAACTTTTGTATAAAACATTTTTAGATATCTCAAATAATTTTCGAGATATATCGAGAAAAGCAAAAAGTCGCTCTACATATGATTTCATCCCTTAGAATCATTTTTGCAATTGGAAATTTCTAAATTGGGTTGCAATTGGAAATTTCTAAATTCATCTATTTGCCCC